TGGCCGAAGCCCCGCGCACACAGCCTTCAAGGGTTTAGGGTTGTTTGGGGCTTCGGGACTAGGCTTTAGGGCTTCGGGTTGTTTAGGGCTGCTGAAGGTTGAGGGTTTAGGGCTTGGACTCTCACACTTAATAAGGGATAATGGCTTATGGGTTTAGGGTTTAGGGTTTAGGGTTTAGGGTTTAGGGTTTTATCAGGCTTCAACTTCCTAACAATTGGGAGCCGAAGCCTGAACCGCCACACCGGAGGCAAGTCAGCGGCAAGGAGATGCAGGGCTCCGGCCAATCGCGCTGAGCATGTAGGTGGCCGTATAACGGATCTCATCGAGCCTTGGCGGCACACCACGCTGAGGTTGGGTTGGGGCTTGTTAGGGTTTGTTAGGGTTTAGGGTTCAGGGTTCAGGGTTTAGGGTTTCGGGTCTAGGGTTTAGGGCTTAGGGTTTAGGATTTCGGGTTTAGGCGGTTTAGGGCCCTCGAAGCCTCAAATCGTCCTCCCGCCTGCTGGATTGCCCTTGACTCTTGAGTCTGATGTCGTTGCAAGATTTCGGCTCTCGGGTTTAGGTGCAGGGCGCTCATCCACTGCTGCTTTGCCAGAGGTCTGAGATGTCAGGACTTGTTCAACAGCTGGGCCAGTCTGCAGCCAATTATTAGCTGGGCCGAGGTTACGGGAATGTAGGGGCTGCACTTTGAGGTTTATGGGTAGAGTAGAGTTCTTAAGTAGGGAACTATGTCTAGAACCGCCTTTAGGGTACCTACAGCCTTACGTACAAGTACCCATGAACCTCTGAACCTCCGGAAGGATAATGGATTTCCTGCCTTTCATGGTGCGTTCTGCGCATGGTGGGACTCGGGCTTCGACAACGTTTCCCGCGGACTTTAGGGCTCCGACCCTAAACCCTGAACCCTGAAGAGCCAAGACTTTTCCAAACCCCAAACTCCCCCTGGGCAGCCCCGGCGACTGGGCGAAGCAGGCGAAGCCCAGCGCCCAAAGGCCTCTGCCAGTCAGGGGGTTAATTAATAATTAACTGGGCGGCGTCTAGGGTTTAGGGTCTAGGGTTTAGGGGTTTCGGGTTTAGGGTTTAGGGTTTAGGGTTTAGGGTTTCGGGTTTAGGGCCGAAGTCTGCTTCCCGCACATGAGTGGGCAATTGTCTCTTTGGCTTTCGCCCGACTGATCGGCAGATTGGAATTGAAGCAATCCGCGCAACTATGCCAGAGCCTTACAACTTTCAAAGCTGCTGTTGTACAGCCAGTACCTCTTGGGGCCGAGTTCTGCAAAACGAGATCAAAAAAGGAATATGCTTTTGGTTGCAGAGGGCTTAAGCTCGCAAAAAGGTTTAAATCTACATCCTCACAATCACAATCGTAGTCACCCACTCGGCAGCGGAGGATTTGAGGGGAGGATTTTTGGGCTTTGGGAACAACAACCATGGAACTTTCGAAATCCCCCTAAACCCTAAACCCTAAACCCCGTCAGATGGCACATGGTTTACCCCTCCCCCCCTCTCTCCAAGCTCCCGACAGCCGGACAGGAATGCCGGGCGTATGCTGGGCTTTGCAGGTGAGCGCAGCTGCAACACCTCCCCAGGATAGCACGGGAGGCTTGGATTCAACAGCGGTTTGGGTTGGGGGGGGTAAGGGTTCGGGGTGGGTCAGGGCTCAGGTCAGCTCGGATTCCATGATTAGGGTTTAGGGCTTAGGGGTTTGGCATGTCTAATTTCTAGGCTGCTTCACTGAGCACGAAGCCGTTACGCGGCGAAGGGTTGTTAGGCTGATGCAGAGCCCTCCTTATTAACCTTATCCCAGCCTTCTTGCAAGAGGTGTAGCTGAGGTAGATCACGGTGCTGGACGCCCAAACCTCGCAGTAGTCCGAAGGTCTTAAGGTCTTTCTGGGCTTGCAGCCGATGCGAGCCCTCTCTGACATAGATGGAAGAGGCTAGAATCTGCTCCTCAGATTTAGGGAGGCGCTATAAGGCTACAAGCATGAGGCCTGGATTGCTGGCGGACAAGGTGTTGCTAGGAGCTAGCAGCAGCTAGCAGCTAGGCGGCTGCACAGATGTCCTGGAGACCATCAGCCCTACCCTCTTCGATGCCTACAAGAGGTAGATGCCGGCCTCAACACGCCTAAAAAGGACAGCTCATTCTGCATGAAAACATCCATGGAGCCACCCAACGCCTCAACAAACAAATCCTGAAACAAAAAAAAAACAAGGCAGCACTGGGCAACCGACGCCCAGGGCCATGGGAAAAACGAAGCAGGCGGACTGAGCAGGGGAGAGGTGCAGCTAGTAAGGCCGGCGACGTAAGCGCATTAAAGGCTTCGTGGACACACCAATCCCCTTCTCCTAATAGGAAAAATGGGGTGCAACGCTAAACCCGACACCCTAAGGTTTACTTCGAACTGCTCAGAAGTCCCGGTTGCTATTCTAGGGAGTGAGGGGGCCGGGGTGATCGACAACTCAGGTGCTGTCTTTTTTGGATGCTGTGAGCTTTGTTTCGATCCCTAAAGACCAAACGAACCCTAAAATTGGGGGTCTTCTACCCCAGTACTACTACAATTTTCCGATTAAGCTATATGAACCATCAACCCTTCTAGGGTCCATGTGGCTTTCAAGGATGTGCTCCAAGGACAGTGCGTCCTGATGGACACAAACTCCGAACTGAAGCCGGCCCCCTCAACAATTGGCGTCCGGCCGGTGTGTTGGGATTTTCCCGGTGCCACATGGCGAAGGGCCTGAGCCACGCCGACGCCCCAACACGAGTTCAAACATGACCCCAGAACCTTTCAAGGTGCAGAGCTTCTGGGGTTTAGGGTTGAGGGTCTCGTTTAGGGTTTAGGGTAAGGTTGTGGCAGTTGTGGCATGGATGCGAAGGAAGCAGCGAGGGACGGTGTGCCCGTGCGCTGCCAGAGAGTACAATGTGCACAGGAAATCCGTCCGACTGCCCCCCCCCCCCCCCCCCCCCCCCCCCCCCCCTCCCCCCTCTCCCTTTCCCCCTGCCTTTCCCCCTCCCTGCCCCCCCCCCCCTCCCCCTCCCACAACTTACTTGCAGGGTCCTTAAAAGGGTTCACGGGAGGGTATGCACCCCAAAGCTTCCCTAATGATAATACTTTTCACTGCTCCCTAAGCCTCGTGAACCCCCATACCCTATAATGCACTGCAGTGGAAGGCATTCGTCTCCACACAAGTGTCTCAAACACCGGTCCCTCCTCCACTTCAGATACCCCCTAAACCCTAAACCCTAAACCCTAAACCCTAAACCCGAAACCCTGTAGAGCCCCTTTAAACCCCGAAACACAACACTGAAGTCCAGAGCCAGGCGTTTTTTAGTACCCAACAAGGTCCTCATGGCGCACCGATGCGCCAAACCTGGGTCCCCAGGTCTAAAAGGTCTTTAAGCGAGGTCACAGAGTAGCCTCGGAAAAGAGACAGCTGCAACTTTTAGGGTTTAGGGTTTAGGGTTTGGGTTCAGAAGGGAACATAACCCAACCAAACAAAGGGGAATAAGGGCTGCAACTTTGTGCTCGTTGGGGCGTTATACAAGGGAACATGACCAACCCCTAAACCCTAAACCCTAAACCCTAAACCCTAAACCCTAAACCCTAAACCCTAAACCCAAACAAAAGGGACTAGGGGCCCGCTCCACCACGGTTTCAGCCGCTCGTTTCCGAGCAACCCAAAGCTGCAACGCCGTCATGCTCGCAATTACAAAGCACAGTCAGCTGCATTTAGGGTTTAGGGTTTAGGGTTTAAGGTTTAGGGTTTAGGGTTTAGGGGAAGGATACCGATTTTTTTTTTTGCCCTATGCTTCCAGGCACCTCTAGAAACCTAACCCTCGGGTCCCTGGAAGGATTGGAGTTCCCGAAGCCATAAACCCTTTCTGAACCCGTAAACCCCTAAACCCTAAACCCTAAACCCTAAACCCTAAGCCCTAGGCCCTGCTGATATGGGGCGTGGGTGTCTGGCGGCAAGTGCTGCTTGGGCTACAGTTTGCCACTCAAGAACGTAAGGAAGTGCTCGTGTACGGGAACCAGCGCTCCAAAACAGTAAGGCGTATAAGACGCCTCAAAGCTACTACGAAAGGTCCTATAGAGGGGCATTTAGATCTAACAGCCCCCTGGAAGAAAGGGTGGCCACTGTGTCGGTAGCGTTGGGCCGCACGGCAACAAACCACTTATGGCTCACAGAGCAAAGGAGGGAGATGCCCTACCCCAAGAAATCTAGGAACCACATGCCACATGTGGGGTGAGGACTTCTATAACGGCTGAGGGATAGAGGTCGAGGGCTCAGGATTTAGGATTTGTACAAGGGGGTTCGGGCTTGGTGTTTCGGTCTCTATCTGTAAAACGGGTTCCCGGTTTAGGGGGTGTGTGGATTCTTTACGGGCTGAAGTTTAGCTTTCCGCAGCTCTGTCGAACTTCTCCTTACTCACAATGGAGCCCGCAGAAACTTGTCAGGCACACGGCAAAGGAGTCTCATTGCAGCCTCACATATTAGAGGAGACTCGCAGCGCCATGTTCAGAACCTGATGAGGGGCCCTGGTCCTCAGTCCTGGGGCCTTTTGGTGCCAGAGACTAAACCCTAAACCCCAAACCCCAAACCCTCTAAAGCCCTATAAAGCCCAAACCGCTCGAGGCACGAGAATACAAATACTTGCTATATGGCTGCATAGGCCCACAACAGTTTCAAGAGGCCCATGCTTAGCTACAGCCACTCCGGACAGCCCGGCCGCTGAAAACAGGGGTCTCCTTCAGATTCCCTGCAAAGATTTCGATTCCAGGTTAGGGTTTAGGGTTTATAGGGTTTAGGGTTTAGGGTTTAGGGTTTAGGGTTTAGGGTTTAGGGTTTAGGGTTTAGGGCTAGGGTTTAGGGTGAAGGATGTTGATCATAGTCTGTTGGGATTGGTACTGGGGTTCTGGGCTCGGGCTGCAATCTTCCTGCCACTCTCCTGCGGAGAACGTGGAATCAGCTTGCCGGCACATCAGTGCACATATTGGGCAGCTGCTTCAAAAATCTTCTGCAATCAGGCCGGTGACATCGGCCACTGCGGCTGCCGTTATTCTGGCACATTCTGCCCGCCGCCCTTCCAGAGCATCCCGCACAAAGTACGGCACCGACTGCTCCTTCGCAACCTAGGTAGCCCAGAAACCCTATTCTAATCAGCGTAACATCAGCGTAACCGCCCCGTTGTAGTTGTTGGTTGCTTTAGAAGAGAACCTAGACCCTGAACCCTACACCCTAAACCCTAAACCCTAAACCCAGAAGAGGGTACCGCTGGGCTGCCAAGCAACATCCGCCGCGGTCCGGTTGCGGCAGTTGCGGAGATCGAGCCGCGCACCCGCAGCAATCAAGGCGGCCGCTCCCTCGAACCTGAGTGGTAGGGTTTAGGGTTTAGGGTTTACGGTTTAGGGTTTAGGGTTTAAGGTTTAGGGTTTAGGTTTAGGGTTTAGGGTTTACGGTGTTCTGTTTAGGGCTTAGCGTTTCTTGTTTAGCGTTTAGGGTTCTTGGATACAGATGCAAACACATCGTGTTGCTGAGCTGGCCGTGTGCTACCAGGGGCCTACAGTAATATTTAGGTTACTGGCACCTGTTTTTTTTATTGTTGCAATCCGGTGTGGAAGTATACAGGGCAGAATGGCCCTGCTATCCTTACCTTACCAAAGGGATCAAAGCCTTCTGGCACAGTCGGGGCGCTGCCCCCCAATCAGAGCCGTCATGAGAGGTGTCGCGCCCGGACAGTGGTAGCACACCCGCGTGGTCTTGGTGACCTTACCATACCTGGGGTCGAAAGGAACCCTAACACGATCACCCTACCAGGGCCGTGTATGGGCCATAAACCCTAAACCCTAAACCCTAAACCCCAAGCCCTAAACCTATCAGGGTCACATATGGACCTGGACCACAATCCCTTTGTAGGCTCAAACCTAAACCCTAAACCCTAAACCCTTAAACCCTAAACCCTTACAAACCCTAAACCCTTTTAAACCCTAAACTCTGGTAACCCTAAACCCTAAACCCTAAACCCTAAACCCTATAAACCCTAAACCCTAAACCCGAAGTTCCAGGGCACTTGTGCTGAAGGGTCTTCATGCCAACCCAGAGGCGCCAAAGCCTGGACTTCTCCTGGGACTGACTTCGGGGATGCCCCGAGAAGCACAAAGCACGTTAGGATTTAGGGTTTAGGGTTTAGGGTTTAGGGTTAAGGGGTTTAGGGTTTAGGGTTTGGGGCTAGGGGTTAGGGGGTTTAGGGTTAGGGGGTTTATGGTTTAGGGCTATCGCGTAAACAATATCTTAAATTATTTTACTTCGAACATCCCCACCTTGCTCCTCGTCAAAAGGAAAGAGCGCAAATAAGATGTTCAAACAAAGACACATTGATTCAAATACGCTTTCTTAGTATGTGCTTGCAACTGGAGTTGGCTCCGTTGGGCACTCCAGGGAGACTCTGGGGTTGGGCACTCCAGGGAACTCTGGGGTTGGGCATTGAGGAGTTTCTGACACTGGGCTGGGCACTCCAGGGAGACTCTGGGGTTGGGGGTTGGGCACTCCAAGGAGACTCTGCAGCTGGGCACTCCAGGAGTTTCGGGTTGGGCACTCAGGGAGACTCTGGTCTGGGACTCAGGGAGGGGTTGGGCATTCCGGGGAGACTCTGGGGTTGGGCACTTCAGGGAGACTCTGGGGTTGGGCACTCCAGGAGTTTTTGGGTTGGGCCCTTTAGGGAGTGTCTGGGGTTGTGCACTCCAGGGATTTTCTGGGGTTGGGCACTCCAGGGAGTCTCTAGGAGTAGACCGGGCGAGAAAAAGAGTTCCGGGCGAGGAGAGGAGTTGAGTTTAAAATCTAACAACCCACACCGAAGGTGGGGAACAAAAGCGAAGTATCGTACGCATCAAACTACTGATGCCAATGGCCTACACCCTTTATCTTGGGGGATCAGGCCGCTTTGGGGCTACTTCTGATTCACCCTACATTCAGCAAAAAAAGTTGAAGCTCTCTTTCCTTAAACCGCCTTCATCGAGGTCCAAGTCTCATACACGTTCCAGGGCTCGTTGACATCCGCTTTAAGCTCCAGCAAGCGTGCAACTAAATCCGCTCGACCTCCGCGACCACCCATAGCCTGAGAAACGGAGACGCGGGGGTCTCCTAAAATAGGGGTACCATTTTGTCGGGGGTTCCTTAACAATAAGGACTGCCGCGTTTTGGGGGGTATAGAAGGGGACCCCTTTTTGCTCAGTGCTCATATGGCTGGTTCCTTGTTCCTCTGAGTCGACATCTTATCAGGACTTCCAAAGCACCGGAGATGTATGGTTTCCGTAGACTCAAGGGTATAACCCTAAACCCTAAACCCTAAACCGTAAACCCTAAACCCTAAACCCTAAACCGTGTATACATGGAACTCTCTAATACCACCGGCAACTCGCAAAGCCTTGCCAACAACAAAACCCAAGGGGCCGCTGAGAGAGCTTGAGAAAAGTTCACGGGCCGTCCGCCATGTGCGGGCATGAGCTGTCCTTGGTAGCCCAGTAACCATATTCTGATTAAGGGCACCCTTTTTTGGCCCTAAACCCTAAACCCTAAACCCTAAACCCTAAACCCTAAACCCTAAACCCTAAACCCTAAACCTAAAACCCTAAACCCTAAACCCTAAACCCTAAACCCTAAACCCTAAACCCTAAACCCTAAACCCTAAACCCTAAACCAAAAAAAAAAGGGGGGTAAAGGGCGCCACTGGGCTACCAGGTGTCCTTGCAGCAGCAGCTCCTCCAGGGCGTCCAGGGAGGCATGTCCACAGCAGGTCCTTGGTAGCCCAGTACCTACATGGGCTATTATACCCTATAACGGTAACCCTAAACCCTAAACCCTAAACCCTAAACCCTAAACCCTATGACCCCTTTAAAAAAAGGCCCTTTATGGGCTTGGTTAGGGGGTTATGTAAGGCCTAATAGCCCATGCTGGTAACCATATGATAAATAAGGGCACCCGTTTTTGGCTGGTTAATTCACAAGGGAACCTTGAGCCAAAAAAAAAAAGGAAAAAGGGCACCCACTGGGCTACCAAGGGTCTCAATGGGATGGTATCCCAGGATGTCCCTCGCATGGGGGTTGCACCTTGCCTCACAGAGAAGGCGGATGCCTGCCGCGTTGTTGGCCAAAGCCGCCATGTTCATGGCTGGCTGGATACCACCATCCAACCTCCTTGAGAGGAGCCGCTTGCAAACAATTTAATATAGGCCTCTGGGGTATACTATCTACTTGCAGGTAAGGTTGCAAGGGCCCGAAATATTGCTAGAATAACCATATTTTTGCCCTACCTATAACCCTACTTGTAAGTACCTATGAATCCCAAGTAGGGCGCTTTTTTATACATGGGGCCCGCAGATCAGAAGCCTTTCAAACATCAGCCCAAGATGCGCCCTTGCTTCAATCAGCAGGCGCCCGGCTTCGTTGTGCTTGAAGAACATGCAGATGGCCAACGCTGAAGCCCACGGCGGCATCCCCACCAGCGGCTGATCCTTCTTGCTACACTGCTGAGATATGGGGGTTAACAAAAATAAGGGACCCCTAAGATAGCCCCCCAAATAAAAGGACTCCCTTATAATGAGGACCCCAATACGGTACCCTAATCTCAGAAACCACCGTATCAGGACGATCTGATATGCCTACGAAAAGCCCTGAGACTCAAAGGCCAAAGAACTCGTGGCAGACTCTTGCTGGGGTAGGTTCGGGGGCCCTGTTTAAAAACATATGTCTTATGGCTTTGTAAGGATTGACAAAGGGGACTAAGGGAAATAAAATACATAAGATCTTCAAACTTACCCCTGAAGCCCGAGCCTGCTTGGTTTGGCGGTTGATGGCCGCCCGCTGCTCAAGCAGACTTCGAACCACCGTCGCATCGCCATTGAGGGCCGCATAGTGCAAAGGCGCCCATCCAGCCTCAACTCGGAGGCTAAACTGGGGGGGTTTCCGAAATTCGGGGTAACCTTTCTGGGGGTCCCTACTTAGGGGGGGATTCTATTCTGTTTGGGGTACAAAAAAGGGTACACTGGGGACTGCTGAAAGAATCAGGGCCACTGCAAGCCTAGGGAAATGATTCTACTGAACTATGCTCCCGTAGAACCTTCATAAAAAAACAATATTTTTAATATCCTCTTGGGTTTGCTATGAAATAAAGAAATTCCCAAGGGGGATATAGTGAAGGGGTGTCTGAGTTCACCTGGTGTTTCCCTGCTTCGGCCTTGTCCACGTTTCCCACGGATGTGAAGCCATTCTGGTAGAGGAACCTTGGCTGGCAATAAGAATCGTCATAATAGTGTTGAGAGCGGAGAATATGGCAGAGGATATTGCAGAATAACGGTACGACTGCTATACTACTTGCTTAAGAACCCCCATTCTTCCTCGTAAGGGAAATATGGGATTCTTACCTTGTGTTTTTTGGGGGGCTCTTTCGCAAATATTAGTAATGATCGAATGATGGTGATGATGAATGAAGAATCCAAAGCCAGGGTGCTGCCTCCCCGGAAGCACGGCAGGGTCAGCATCGCCGGGGTCGAAGTCGGGCAGGAGGTCGTCGACAAACTTGGCCGGGAATCCTGGCGATGGTTTTGGGGGCTTCCGAAATTCGGGGTACCTTGTTGGGGGTCCTTAAGATAAGGGGATCCTGCTATTTGGGGGGGTCTATTTTCAGGGCTCCCCTATTTTCGTAATAAAAAAAAAAACCTATTTAGGATCCCCGGGATGAGAGGGTTCTGAGAGCTTTGCCGGATTCCTGCTGTAGTTCTGAGGGTTCTGAAGGCCCTGGGATATGCTGTAAAATTATGGTTTACGGACCCTGACCCAAGTTCACAGTAAACCTTCGGAATGATGGCTTCTTCCGAAGTCTGCATCTCTCTGCCTTCTCAGCTAGCCCTCCTACCGTGCGGGCCTCTTACTCCCGTAATTCCCTAAACACGACACCCCAAACCCCCAAACCTCCTTTTGCAACTGGACTCTAACCCCCTTCTTCCTAAACCCTAAACCCTAAACCCTACATCCTCGGTTGCCTGAAAAGGGTCCTCTGAGGTGTACTCCCTGGAGGTTGAGTAGCAGACGGTATGCCACGAAGTCTTGAGCTTGCAGGTGGAGCCAGAGCCTGCGCCTCACTCGTGTTTGGTAGTACATTTGGAGCTTTGGCAACTCTGCGGAACTTGGGGTTTTAGGAGTTTATTAAGGGGGTGAGGCCCTCCCACATTTTGAGGTTCGACCTTCCAAGCCATGTACCATGTACCTCCACCAACAACAAAAAATTAGTTAAGTAATTAATAAAAGTCTCCTAGGCGCTGCTTTCCAAGCCTGCATCCTTCAAACCCAAAACCCTAAGCCCTAAACCCTGCATCCCTAAACCCTCAACCCCTTGAGAGCCCCGAGCGTGCCTCAGGGCACCTTCGAAGACTGGTGCCAGCTTGTCGCGGTCCTGAGCTAGGCCACAGAGTAGCCTAGGAATACAGAGGGCACTAGACCCAAGAGTAGCCTAGGAATGAAACGGGTACCCTTTCTGGGTTAAAAGGGAACAGAAAACCTGAAAAGAAAGGAATAAGGGCCTACTCTGGGTCTGAGGTTTATTTAGGGTTTAGGATTTAGGGGTACCCTGATGAGTCACTAAACCCCGCGGTTCGAGTTGGCTTTTGATGTGCTGACTTCCAATGAGGGCCTGAAATTAGCACAGAAGTCCCTAAACCCTACCCCTAAGAAAACTGAGAAGTGGCAAACACTTGGACTTAGACCCCTAAACAACTGAGCTTGAAGGCTCAGGGGACTTAGTCTTAGTGATCCATTGTTGGAAGGGTTTCGGGTTGAAGGTCAGGGTTAAGCTTCAGAATGCTTAGAAAGTTTAGGTAAACTGAGTAAGTATGTAGTTGTAAGCCAGGCTATCTGTACAGGAAGACGGGATATCCTAATCTACTTAACTAAGTTCTTGAGCCTTCAAGTACAACCTTGAACCCTAGCTGAACCTTTTATAGGAGCTCCTTTGGGGTCTTACTTGACAAGATGGAATTCGCCCGCCAACACACACCAAAAAAAGCAACAGCAATGAAGGGTCGAGGTCGTCCTTGAGGACCTCCCTGAAACCCTAAAGCCTGCAAACCTCATGCGAAGCCATAATTATAATTTCTATGAATACTTAAATTTCTAAATGGATCAAGCACGTAGCTATAGATGACCTAAACCCTAAACCCTAAACCCTAAACCCTAAACCCTAAACCCTAAACCCTCCTTTTGCTCGGCCCCAGGGTCTGCGGGCACCGTGAAGCTGCCTTCCCCCGGCGGTCCCCCGATGGAGGCCAGGGGCGAGGCAACCACCTCGAGGTCGGTCGCGCTCCTTTTGGGGTTTAGGGTTTAGGGCTAGGGTTTAGGGCTAGGGTTTAGGGTTTAGGGTTTAGGGTTTAGGGTTGAGGGTTGAGGGTTTAGGGTTCAGGGTTTCTGGTTTAGGGTTTCGGGTTTAGGGTGTAGGGTTTAGGATTGAGTTTTACGGTTTAGGGCTCCTCTTTCTTTGCTGGTCAGTGAGAGGAAGGGAGGGGAGGGGGGTGAAAATGGTGCCCTTTGTTGATTTCTGTTGGGAAATAAGGTCCAGGGTACAGCTTAGGGTTTAGGGCTCTTTTTGTTTGCTTGCCAGGGACAAGAGGGGGGAGGAGGGTTACAGGGTTTAGGGTTCAGGGTTTAGGGTTTAGGGCTTTTGGCTCTTCATGAGAAGGGCTGGCTCAGCGGATTCAAGCTTCACGGGGTTGAGCTAAACCCTGAACCCTGAACCCTAAACCCTGAACCTCAAACCCCAGACCCCAAACCCTAAACCCCAAACGTTCTTTCTAGGGTTTGGGAGGCCCCGTTGGCTCCTGATCATGATCCAGGAGGCGTCGGCCGAGAGCTCCCTGATGGCCCTTTCTACTCCTCGGCAGCCCAGTAGGTGCATCTCACAATAAGGGTATACGGTATAGGGTATAGGGTTTAGGGTACCCATATTCCGGTAGAGCCATTAGATCCATGTCACAATGAGGGTACTCTGCTGTCAGTTACTTTTTTGCTTAAAAGAAGGGGTGGCTAGATCCATTCCATCCATCTCACAATAAGGGTATCCTTATTTGTGCTAGTATTACTTCTTGCGACGGAATCCCTTTTAAACAATAAAAGTTGCAAAAATCGAGCACCACTGGGCTGCCAAGACTCGGCACCACCCGCGATCTGCCCAAGTGCTCGGTGTGAAGAGCCTGGCTCCCGATTCGCTGTACACAACCGGGCACCTGCACCATTGTTGGGGTACTACTACAAACATGATCATTTTTGGTTCCTGATTGTGTACTCTTAAACATGATCATTTATGGTCGCGTATTGTGTTAAAGTATTCATAAAAATGACAACATGATTTTCAACAATGATACAGGCACAAGGCGAGGAAGAAGGATGTCTTGGCCACGTAGGACGGAATGCTGGCAATGGCGTTGCGAAGGCTGCTCCGGAAGCCCTGTGATACGATCGTGTGGTAGTCCTGCCCTGACGTGTACTCGAGCTGTGGGCAGGAGAAATAGTCGTACCAGATGAAGAGTGGCTTGGAACCTTGGTTGCTGAGTTCAGAAGCCCCAAAAAAGTGTACACTTCTAGTTCTATAGGGGGGGGGGGGGGGGGGTTATCGTATCCCAGAAAGTGTAAAGTCTACTCATTCAGCTTAAGGAACGGAATGCTTCAGTTGACAGCGGCCGGGCGCCCGGAACCAGCGTCTCCGTGATCAAGTCCAAGGTGACATACTTCCTTGGTAGCCCAGCAACCATAATACAAAAACAAGGGCACCCTTTGGTTGGGTGGTTACCTTACAAGGGAACCCAAAAAAAAAAGAAAAGAACAATAAAAAAAAACAAGGTAAAGGGCACCACTGGGCTACCAAGCTTCAAGTCCTTCATGACATGTCGCAGTGCATCCTGCAACACCTGGCAAGGGTTTACGCAAACAGGGGACTCCTAATATAGTCCCTCCACCCCCCAAAAAAAGTAGGATTCCTTCAAAAAGGTACGAAAACAAGGGGCCTCCAACATAGTCCCCCCCCAAGTGTAGAATTCCCGAATCCGAAACCCCAATAAAAATAAGCTGGGTACCTCTATTTCGGAAGCCCCCCCCCTCCCCCCAATTGTAGAATTCCCTAATA